TTTATACCAAAAAGTTCTACTTTGGTTTCATCTGACCACATGACATTGTCCCAATCCTCTGCTGTATCATCCATGTGCTCTCTGGCAAACTTCAGACGGGCCTGGACATGCACTGGCTTTAGCAGTGGAACACGTCTGGCACTGCGGGATTTGATTCCCTGCCGTTGTAGTGTGTTACTGATGGTGACCTTTGTTACTTTGGTCCCAGCTCTCTGCAGGTCATTCACCAGGTCCCCCCGTGTGGTTCTGGGATCTTTGCTCACCGTTCTCATGATCATTTTGACCCCACGGGATGAGATCTTGCGTGGAGCCCCAGATCGAGGGAGATTATCAGTGGTCTTGTATGTCTTCCATTTTCTGGTGATTGCTCCCACAGTTGATTTTTTTCACACCAAGCTGCTTGCCTATTGTAGATTCACTCTTCCCAGTCTGGTGCAGGTCTACAATACTTTTCCTGGTGTCCTTCGAAAGCTCTTTGGTCTTGGCCATGGCGGAGTTTGGAGTCTGACTGTTTGAGGCTGTGGACAGGTGTCTTTTATACAGATGATGAGTTCAAACAGGTGCCATTCATACAGGTAACGAGTGGGGGACAGAAAGGCTTCTTACAGAAGACGTTACAGGTCTGTGAGAGCCAGAGATTTTCCTTGTTTGAGGTGACCAAATACTTATTTTCCACCCTGATTTACGAATAAATTCTTTACAAATCCTACCATGTGAATTCATGGATTTTTTTTTCACATTCTGTCTCTCACAGTTGAAGTGTACCTCTGGTGCAAATTACTGACCTCTGTCATCATTTTAAGTGGGGGAACTTGCACAATCGGTGGCTGACTAAATACTTTTTTCCCCCACTGTACTAATGGATGGTCACGGCATGTGGTGCAGACATTCATATTACAAAAAGATTGATACCTAAAGGTCTCCGCCCCACCTTGTCATCTAGTGTAACCAACAGGTGTAAATCCATCCATAATTATTTATTAGATGGATTGGTACCAGCTTCCAGTTTGGATTCGGGAAACAGACACTATCTCTACTTTTAAGATGTGGCTTAAAACTTTCCTTTTTGCTAAAGCATAGAGTTAGGGCTGGACCAGGTGACCCTGAATCTTCCCTTACTTATGCAGCAATAGGTGTAGGCTGCTGGGGGATTCCCATGATGCATCGAGTATTTCTTCTTCAGTCACCTTTCTCATTCACCTCTCTGCATTGAATCATATTTGTTATTAGTCACAGCATGTCTTTTATCTCGTCTTCCTTCTTTCACCCCAACCGGTTGCAGCAGATGGCCCCGCCCCTCCCTGAACCTGGTTCTGCCGTAGGTTTCTTCCTGTTAAAAGGGAGTTTTTCCTTCCCACTGTCACCAACGTGCTTGCTCATAGGGGGTCATATGATTGTTGAGTTTTTCTCTATATGTATTATTGTAAAATTGAAATTGAGTCCAGCCTGGGGTCTTTTCTGTGTAGGTTTTTCACGTTCTCCTCATATCTGCAGTGGTTTTCCCCGGATACTCCGGCTTCCTCCCACAGTCCAAAGATGTGGAATTAGCAGGGTTAAGTTCATTTGTAAATTCTAAAAACCGTGAATGTTCCTGTGAATGGCCTCTGTGTTAGCCCTGCCGCAGGTTAGTGATCTATCCAGGATGTTCCCTGGATAGGGTAAAAAGCATGGTTGGGCTTTGAAAGCCTTAATTTATAAATCCAGAGACTTTTGGATTGCCATTTATGTCACCCACAGGATGGACTATAATAGCTAAAGTACAAAATTTCAACTTTTGACCAAATACCAACAGATATACACACACCGACTTTGCTCGTCAATGTTCTGAACCAACAGATTGTGACAATGGTAAACATTATCTCAATGATAACATGGTTCCCTTGTCATAAGCCATTTTCATCCACATTCTGCACAATGTTAAGATGTTTCTCCCAAGTAGCGCACAACATCCACTCCTCCACCTCACTACTCTGATAAAAAAATAATAATTTGGTTAGCTGAGCTGAGGAAGCTGCCTACGTAGATCAGGAGCAGGTCGGAGACACCAGTGACTATGGAAGACAGACTATTACCTGAGCTTTTCTCACCTCTGTGCATCCCTGCATTACGTGGACTTTGTACTGGCAGGTTAAACACAGTTTACTGTCTGATCTGAATATGTCAGGCTTACGTCCTAATGTGCACCTTTGTTGCGCAATGTCTAGAAAAGTGCAGGGCTCTGCTGATTGCGTGACAAGGCACTATATCACTATTTCTGTCTTTTCACAACCCTTTGCGACCGAGTTGTAGTCCTGTCTGACTAATGGACAAAAATCAGCCTAGGTTTGCTTTGTCTCTTAACTTTGTTTTAGGCCGATTTTCGATACTTTCAATATTGATAAAAGTGAAGCCCTGCACGCCGGGTGTCTATGCAGCGCTGACATATGGGAAAGCAAAAATCTAAACCTCCCCCTCTGGCAGGGAGAGACATTCAGGCTTAGAGGGCCTGAGGAAGTATTGCTTGCTAAGCATAGTAATTTGGAGGGAAGGGGAAGCACTCTCTAAAGCATATGCCATGATTTATTCACGACTTTACTCTGATCTGAATTGCATCAGAGCAGTGACTCAACCATTATGTGGACAGAGCATTTACTCCAAGGCTCAGAGGCCATCTCAGTGACTGGCTTTTGTTTGTCTGCGTCTGTATCTGTGTGCAGTTTACATCTGGAAGCTCTGTTTTAAACAAATTCACATATAAGGTCAAGTGGTAACATCATTATTATCACGTTAACACAATTTATGGTTTCGGGTGTCAACTTCATCTTCTGGAAAATCTTCTATGGGCGGAGATGGAATATACAAGCTGGGGAGGATCTGTCAAACTTGAGTCATGCTGAATCATTTTTGACTATGATGTTTTTTTCCGTCTCTGTCGCGCAACAGATTCCCAGAAATGCCTAGCTTGGTTCCAGTTAGGAGTTACAAAAGCTAAATTGACGGTGATGAAGAAAAATGCTGCTACTGTGACCTGACTGAGTTCATCTGGAATATCCCTACTGTGAAAGACAACCACAAGTGCGATAGGGAAAAGTGTGGAATGTTTATGACAGTTAGGTCACTGGCGATAGCACAGAAACTGAGCACTTGTTTACGTGAGGGAAAATTCCAGCCACCATCCTTTTCTTCATTAAAGTCACTGATTAACCACACTGTACTGGCTGTACTTGTGATAATCGCACTCCACAGAAGTGTTATATGTTGAACCCACTGGCAAAGTGTCCTTGCTTGCTTCCCAACTCCACAATAAAGCTGACCTGCTCTTGTCACAGAGATCACTAGGGGGTGGGAGAGGGATTTTGATGTAGTTACACTGAGCATAGACTCAATAAATGGAAGTCTTTATGGCAGGTTATTATAGGGCGCTTGATACCACTTTGAGGAAGGTCAATGGGCAGGTTTAAATTTAAAGTGTGCGGAGCCAGCTGTAATCACTCTACTCGATCGTGGTACAGTAATTGCAGACCAGGGAGCTCATCTCGATGAACAAACATTAGCCTCTGGAGGTTATCTGAGGGTCCGGATTAAGTGGAAGTTGTCTGATGCGACGATGGGAAAGGGCGGAAAAAATAAAATAAAATTGGGAGCCCTGCTTGATAACCACAGCAACGAGAAGTGAATGCACATGCCATTAATCCAGTAAATTAATCTCGACCACAGTACACCAGCTGGGTGTAAAACCATAAAAGATAAATATGTTAGGTAATCAAAACTGGGAGAAAGAGAAATGAGAAAGCCATCCAGGCAAAAGCAAGGAACTATGGACGGACAGTCGTAAGCTAGAAAAGAAACAGACGCTTCTAGGTTGCAAAAAACATCACTGCAACTACAACTATTTGTCAGGAAGTGTGTGAAATTGTCAACTACGCAGCAAATGTTATTGTTGTTTTTTTGTTTTTTAAAAATGGTGAAACCAGTTCATAGTTTTGAAAACGAAGATTTTTGGTTTTCTCATTTACTGAACTATTCATATCATGTGTGTATTGCAAGCAGCAACACATCCTGAAAGTGATAAAACCTGCAGTTCTACTAGTGGCCACTTGGACTCCAAGACAGCGAGTCGATTCCCATAAAGCTCCTTATTAAAATCCCCAACAGCTTGTACATAAAAATAAATTTGGTCTTTGAGTTCAAAATGCCAATCTGTAGACTTCTTCAAGGTATTCACGCAAGCTTGGTGTGGGTAGAAGGCCATCTTTTTATGGCATGCATACAGCTGAAACAGCAGTATGTGGGTATGTAGATCTGCTTACAACTGCAGTACTTAATAGAACAATGCTTGGGTTAAACTTGTAAACAAGCAGCAGACTTCTGGTTTGGACAGCCTGGAGTTACAGTAAAGTGGATATAGTGAGGGTAGAACTCAATCCCGGCTCTGACTTCTTCTTTTCCTCTTGCCTGCTCAAACTCGCCAGGTTATACTGACCAAGCTTAATGTGTTTTCTAAACGAGCTGACACCGTGAACGTTTTCAAAGAACTCACCGGACCATTTCATGACTGAATTAATGAATGAAGTGCTTCCTGGAGGGGGGCATGTCAAATAACAGTGAACCCATAACAGTGAACCCTGCAGGCTGCACATTAGAAACACCGGCTGCTAACGACCTGCGACTTAAAAAACCCAACAAGAACAATAAACCCCCCACACCTGTGTGACCTGCACCTGTCAGTGAACGGAGCTGAACTACCACAGCTTCATATCCTGATTGAGGCTTTCTCAACATGTGCCTACTCTGATCAGGAGCCCAAACAGCTGCTGCAGTTTTTTTCTTTTTGCATATATAACAATGGTTTCATGTCCTGAAGGCAAATAGTGGATGAACATATAGGCAAATATGCTGCGCTCTAAAATACCATTCACATTCACGTTTCCACTTTGCCATGTTAAATGAATACTGATGTGTTTAGCCGGTGTCTATTTCGTCAGTTTCCCCCATGAAACCTACACTTATGTCACACTTACCTGAGTCACAAGTCCCCGAGCATGGTTTTCTACTTTTCTCAACCGGTTTCCACGCCAAAACACTGCGACTGAGAACTACTTCTACCTGCCTGTGCTTCTGAAAGAGCTGCGATGACAGTAACGTGACTTGTTTCTCCATATTACCGATCCTAGGTGTCACTCGTTACGCCGCTGGATGCTCCTCATTGCAACTTTATTATCGCCCGCGCGTGCCAAGTGTCTGCGCTGTTTGCAGTGGTTACGCCGGTCGGCCTGAGCCGTCAGGGAAAGGGAGGGGGGGGAATTTAGGATGAAGATCGTGTATGAGAAAGATGACTCACTCAGTAATAAAAATCAACCTGGTCTAATAATAATAATAAACGTTATTTATAAAGCAGACTTAAAACCAAGGGTATACCAAGGTGCTTAACAAGTAACATAGAGAATAAAAGGAAGATAATAGAAATAGAAATGTGACCATAATATGAAAAAAATAAATTTAGAGCCTTTTTGGGAAAACTTTGTTGACTCCATTTATATGTAGGGGATTTTCACATTCTTCTCTAAAGAGGTATGTGCCACCCTGCCTAGACCTTATGCCCCTCCTTTGCCCCCATGTAAAATTTTAACGATCCACCACTGATTATGACTCACAATGTAAATAACATAAAGGGAAAATTAGGGCAGAGTGAGCCCTCTTACCTTTAAGGCTACCAATTTCAAAACAAAGTATCTACAAGGGTAAGCGTGTGTACGGAAGATTAGGGCCACTGGAAAAATAAAAAACAGGTCTGAATTCTGAGAAAAAAAGTCAAATTTCGGAGAAAAATTGATTAATGTTAGAATTCTGACTTTTTACTCAGAATTGTGAAAATAAAAAACAAAAGAACATTTGTTTTTCCCTGTTCTGTACATATGAGCACACTGACTCTGACTTAAAGCATTTGCCTTTTAACAAAACACACTCTAGAAGCAAGTCTCACCACTAGATAGATAGATAGATAGATAGATAGATAGATAGATAGATAGATAGATAGATAGAAACAGCAAATACAAACTAAACTTTATGCAGGTTGCCTTCATTGGCACCGCACTAGCTGTAGATATGTACACGTAACAATAATAGTGGGTTATTTTTCTGATGAGCGGAGCTAGAACTTAGCAGAACAGAAAGGCCAAACGTGTTGTTTACCGAGTCAAGTCATCCTCATATTCATATAGTTACTCCACAATGATAATCCATTTGCTGTAATACTGTAATATTAACTATTACTTTATACAGCCAGTTTATTAAACATTTAGTTGATATGTGGTTTCCAGGACAGTTTATTGTTTATTATAGCCTCAAAAAAAGCATCATTCAAGTTTAATTTCCAAATTCCCAAGCACATAAAACCTGTATTAATAGAATCACCTGTCAGTTCACCAAGTTCATAAAATAAGTTTGAAAAGCCTAAAATAAACCTGACTTTATTTTATACATAGTGAGAACCAACATTCAATATATGGCATCACACAAACTACAGATTTATATTACAAAAATTGTATGAGAACCGATCTATTTAAAGATTCTGCCTGAAAAACAATGTATACATATTATATGAACATTTCTAAATATCCAAAAAACCCTCCTATGATCCTGTCCATGTATTTTCGTTGGTGATATTGTATGCCTTCCCTCTGGTCCTGATGCTGGAGGGTCTCTTTGATTCACAGTCGGAGTTTCTGTCAACACAGCAAAGGCCGTGGAGCATGACGTCAGCGTCCTATTAAAAAAATGCTCCTACCGACAACCAGATCTCACTTGTGATTGGGTTACAGTGAGGAAGTGTCACCCCAGCCAATCACAGTCGCGTTTACTTGCCGATTAGGCAGTATCAACATGGCAGCTTTCTGAGTTTTGGAGGAGGGGAGCTGGTGTAAATAAACAGACATTTAACATTTTTGAGATAACGACAGCGTCGGGGTGTTTGAGTTTAGGACTGAGTGGACCGCTGCGGGAAGATGTCGAGCGACGGAAACAAAAAACAGTTCTGGAAAAGGAATGCAGCGAAGGTTCCTGGCAGGTGAGTGACGTGTTCCCTCCTGCTTGTTAGCTTAGCGTAGCTAGCTTCACTCAGCTGACGCTGCGCTGCTGCTCTTCAAACGCCAACTTTCACTTTGATTGTTGGGGCTTTGCTGTTGGACAAAGTTCCCATTCTTGTCACTGGCCAACGTCTGTGGTAAAAACGTCTCGTAGACGCATTTTACCCCTTGCAACTGTTAGCTAGGCTAAGAGCTAGGCTGCTAACAGTGGCTAATAGTTCATCAGTACTCCGTCGCAGAGTTGTAACTAATGACACAGTAACTATTTCACAACACGAGTAGTCAAGGTCTCACGGCAAATTATTGCACTTCGGGTCACACGGAGTCTCACTCCTGCAGTTTAAACTGGTATTGTTTTAAATAGCTTAAAGCTAGCTTGCCAGCCAGTGATCGAATAGTTCATTCATTTCCATTCTGTCTTTTCCACTTCCTCAGCATTCAGCATGTGTACGGTGCACAGCATCCACCCTTCGACCCGCTCCTTCATGCAAAGTAAGTTAAACCGACTTCCTTGTTGTAAAAATAAATACCATGTGATCTTGGTGAAGTTCTCTGGCCCAATGTCAGTTTTTGTGTCATGTGATAAACTAGACTTCAAAGCCCAATTGATGTCGACCCGGTACTTTGCTTCAGATTAAAAAAAGTGATGTACTGTTGAGTGGAGAAAAAAAAACTGTCCCTACCATGGGAAATTATTATTGTTTTGTGTTAATAATGGTTGGTTTTGGAAAAAAAGTTATTATCCATTTAGATTAGGTCATTCTCTTTGAATGGGACGTAACTGTATACTTGTTTTTTTTGTTTGTTTGTTTTTGCTTGAGTTCTGTTGTTGTCACTAGCAGAAATCATTGCCTTCTGCTGAAGGTTTAAAATCAATGATCTGTCTCAGTTGTTCCATCTGTATCAGATGCTGAAACCGATGTTTTATTGATGCTTACCACTTTTTGTGGGGGGGGGTTACTTCATGAAATCATGAAAAAATACCTAAATGTCTTTCAGCTCTTTTTCACACTACTTTTAAACATTTTGCCAGCACAAAATTAATTTGACATAACAAAAGAAAAAAGATTCTGCCTCTGCTGTCTCTGCTCTGTTCACCCTGTCTATACTCCAGCTGTCAGTCAGTGTGTCTGTTTGGTGGACGATACACACGGCAGACGGGGTGAACCCTGCTGTTAGGTTACATTCACATCAAATCTGGTTGTCTGGCGCCTTCCTGAAGGATTACATGGAGGTGTGGCTCTGTTTGTGTGATAACACAAAATTACTGTGGGGATTTACTTATTTCTCTAGTTTACTTCTTTGTTTTGGTTAATGCCTCCCTGCAAACACCACCGACCATCATTGCCTTCTCCCACAGTAACCAGTAGGGCTGTTCGATATAACGATATATATCGGATGCCGATATAAAAACGTCTATCGTTTCATTTTACGCTATCGTTTGTTTCGTGGTGTCGCAAAATGAACTGTTTACAGCAATATTCTTTCATCGTTTTGATGGTCACTGTAGTGGCTATATTAATTTCTTAAACTTCTCTTTCTCTTATATTTTATATAACCACACTACAGACGGACAAGCGCCTGTTTTTATGCGTTGTGGTTAGCAACAACGATGGTAACACCATCGCGTGTCCGCTTGTTTATGTTCCACATAAACCTTTCACCATAAAGCTCAAGATCCTGTTGAGACTTTTCAAAATAAACTGAACCACGTGAAAGAGCAGATTATTTACGGATGAGAAGCAAAAAAAGAGCCGCCAGGTGCTAAAAAATAAACCTTAGACTCAAACGTTAGAACAGGCTTTTCCCCGCAGCACGCCGTGTATAAATACTCAAAAAGAAAACGGCGGCCGTTACAACTTATGTCTAAAACTGTATAGTTTCATGCATCTGTTAAAACACTCGACTCCAGCTACATGACGCGCAGCTGGAAACACTTCCCGCAAGTCGAGCTGCCCGAGATTCACAGAATTTAAAGAAAATGTTACATTTTTGTGATTTATATCGTTATATGATTTTGGTCATATTGCACAGCCCTAGTAACCAGCACTTTCTGCTTTATGTCATAAGCAGATTGTTTTGTTTGTTTTTTTATCAGTTTTTGTGAGATAACTGATAAATGGCTCAAATGCTATAAGTAGGCTACTTGAGCAATTTGACCAATTTGAAATGTTCATTATTGCACCTTCAGTTTACCGGACCTTGTGAAAACGCAATCCTGTGAGCAGCAATGTTTTTTGTGGGGAAAATAATTTATGTACACTTAAAAAGGCGGCTAATTTCAGCTTATTTAAAGGTAGGCCTGTTTTATCCAATGTATTGGTGCTGAGATAGATTTCTTCTACCTCAGTTTGTCACGGCACAAAACGCTCAGGTGTGGCTGAATGGCTGCTGTATTTTTAGCCACATCCCAGTGACGAATGTGGACGTATATGTTTTTCCATTACACAACTGACGAATGAACATACCATCTGTGACATCATGGGCTGGGTTGAGCCTATTATTACTTACAGTTACTTCAATGTGTGTAATGTCATTTGTCAAGTCTTTCAGTTATAATTCTGGTAATCTTCTGTTTTGCACTTTGAAACTGCAGAACTGGAATGACAACAGAGGCAGTGACTCTACAAGAAAGTCCAGTCATTTTGTGACTGGGTAAACAAGTTGAAGAAAGTTGAGCAATTCTAAGCCTTGATTATACTTTCTGTGTCTGCATGTCCACTAAGGCTCCAAGTGATGTAAATTTCATCATTAGATGGTGGGCACAAGGGTCTGTGTGCACGTCTGCGTGCCTGTCTGTTAATTGTGATTGTCTGCGGAGAGTTGTCATTACAGTGCTCCAACTATACATGCTCATGTGTGGTTGGAGCATAGCAGCTCTCCGTGTCCATGTCTGCAATAGAGTATAATCAATAGTGATGAAACGGTTGATTCTAATATAAGTAGTATTGGTATCAAAGCTGGTATTGGTATTGGATCAATACTGGTGAGATACCTTGTTTCTGTCCTCAAGGTTCAGTATGTATCCCACTAAACTGTTTTGAAAAAGATTATTTTTATTGGAAATGAGGGAAAATATATCTCAAAAAGCACTAGTGCTGGGCGATATGATGATATATATCGTGTGGAGGATAGAAAAGTGTCTATCTTG